TCACTCGCCTCGTTTGTATTAGCGGTGCAGTGAGATAAGGGAATGTGAGTAGAGTTAGCTGTGGAGAGAAGAGAGGTATGTGTGGGTGTAGGAACGATTTGATTTCGACCAATTTGGTCTCGTGTGCTGTTTTAAAGTTAACTAATATCGTGCGATCATCAGCTGATTTATATTTATAAGAAGTCACCATGGTTCTTCTACTTTCAATATGCAAAATAAATCAAAATCAGATAGAATAATCTTTGTCATAGAAATATATAAGACTACTAATGTTTACTGGGGGAGCTTAATGATGATGATTACAATAATCATTTGTTGTGGTGGTGTTTCGTTCTCTGAGCTGGATATTTTGGTTGTGAAGCTTTCATTGTTCTTCTGAACAACATCATCAAGGGGAGGACAAAGAACACTAGAGAATTTTTAGAAACTTGGCACTCAGGTCAATCAGCAATCAACATCAACACATCGACATTCACCCAATTTATCAACCAATCGGAAAAATCATAGGCGAACATAGGATCAAGAAACAAACAACAAAAGGGGGATACAATCAAAACAAAAGTGCAAACAACGACAGGTTTTAGGTCAACAGCAACCAATCAAGATCGAGGTTAGCAGAGCAAGCTACAGGTCAAATGCGGAGAAATTCTAATACTTCACTTCTCCTATTTGAAGTTTGTGCTAATGATGTTGTTCAGAAGAACAATGAAAACTTCACAACCAAAATATCCAGCTCACAGAGAACGAAACACCACCACAATCATCCACCTGAGTTACAAATTTTCTCCACCATCTCACTTATCATTTGTATTATTATGGCTTTATTCAGTAATAAAGTGTTATTACGTCATAGGATTTTCAGTACCATTTGTGCAAAGTAACAATAATAATCTAACCAACTACAGTGTTTTGGTCTGCGTTTTCCAGCATTTAGTTTGGGGATTTATATGTAACCATTTAATGGTAGCGCATGAGTATACACAATGACTATTTGTAATCAATCAGTTCAAACAAATTTAAAACAGATTGTGTCGGTCGGTATTCGATATGTTCTTAGACTTCGTGTACTGCTCATCCAGACAACCGTCACTAGATAACACCTAACGGTTTAAAAATCAAAAGACGAATAAGAAGTGTCAAATGCGTTTATTGAAGCACTACCAACTAACCACCGAAACCACAGACACACGAGGCAAAATGATATGAGAATGCCGAAGAGCAAGCGAGTGAATTAGCTCATGAATGAATAGGATTAAAATGTACGTAATAAGTACATAGCAAAATGAATGAGTCATCGTGATATTTAAAAGACTAATATTAAAGTGAATAGAATGAATATGCGCGTAGGCGATAGGCAATGTTCAATCATACCTGCTCATACAAACACGACAATAAAAACAGTACAATGGTACAGATAAGTTGTTACTACACAAATGAATCAGTCAAATAAGTTAATCAAAAGGGTTTCACTGAATTATATGTGAACAAACGCAAATATATGTAAGCTACTAGACGGCAGTCGGATTGTAACATTTTGCAAAGTTAGGAAGTAGGTCGCTAGTCTTAATGTTACTTTACAAAGTTGATGTAAAAACCATTTTTATGTAGGATTTTTTATTGTACATTCAATAGTTATTTATGAATTTAAGGTAAATAAAATTAATTTCAAACTGATATAATGATTTTATTTTGGAAATGTACAAACAACTTTTTAATAGTATGTATAAATCGCAAACTGAAACTTAATAAATATGAACGAAGAATTAGTAATATTATAAAGAAATAAATGAACTCTGTGTTATTTGTATGCATCAAATGAAATAACTTTTGTTCACATTAATCAATTTAGTGATATATAAAACTGCCCAAATGAATGATTGATTGTAGGCAGTGTATGCATTAACTACCAAAGACAAATGGGTGAGGTGGCGCAAAAATCCCTAGATCAATCAGAGTTAGACATTATCACCGTTGGATTCCGGCTTAGTGGTCCAGTGATTAGGTGTTCGTGCACAATACCAAAGGTCCCGGGTTCGAGTCCTGCGAGGTGCAGGAGTCGTGGATGCGCACTGCCACTAACGAGTCCCATACCAAGACGAAACAGCAGTCCAGTGCTTTCAGGTTCCTAATGGTGGTCTAACAATGATTGATTGATGATTTCGAACGTGTAGAAACACTAATCTCCATAACGCCAATTGAAATGATTGATTTAAAGTTATCAATATGAAGTATTGAGCAGTTTATACAATATAAATCTATACATTAGATTTAATCTCATTGTATCAACATGTCTAGTTGATTTTAGCTAATAATAATCAATATTTAAGTATCAGATTACAAAGTTACTCTAGAGGATGACAGTGAATAGTTAGTTAATTGAAAATTATAGAATTTCTAGTGTAACTACAAATATATATTATCGGATTATCTGAAAATTTCATATTTTGTATTTTTTTCATTCACTAATAATAGATAGGTTAACATAAACTCATTTACTTGTACGAATATAAATGAATACATTGTCTTGTTTCATCTGATTAATGAGTATAATTATTTAGTTGTAATGTAGATGGTTTCTCAAACATTAACACCGCTGGATGCCGGCCCAGTGGTCCAGAGGTTGGGCGTTCGCTCACAAGACCGAAGGTCCCGGGTCCGAATCCTGCGAGGTGGAGGAGTCGTGGATGCGTTCTGCTGATGGGTCCCATACCAGGACGAAACAGCCGTTCAGTGCTTCCAGGTTTCTAATGGTGGTCTAACAATGATTGATTTATGATTTCAATGTACAAAAATAATTCTTGATTATACATATGCCAGGATTTCAGCTTCTTCGTTATTTACATGAAGGACATTATTTGAATGGCCTCTGTAGATAATTACGTACTATGTGCCAATCGCTTAAATAAATCCTTTAAACAAAAGTTCCAATGAAATTCAGTTAAAGTAATCAGTCAAATCCAGCAAGTGTGCCTCAGTCAGTTTTGACATCATCATCTGCATGTACCAGTATGCAAGTACTGATATTTAATCCAAACCCAACACCTTTTACTCCAAATGCCGAATACATCATTTCCGTAGGCAAACTGCCTGGGTTTAGACGCCCTCTTACTTTAACTACTTCTACGACTATCTGCGTTTCCCATTTCTTTGATCTGCAATGATACGAAAGATCTTTGAGCAATACATTATTTGTAAATACTTGACGAATCTTGCCAGCCATGCACCACTTCCCAGCAACTGGTACCAGAAAGAGTAATAAAGGAACATCTTTTCGCAATACACACTCTCTCATAATAACTTGGACCAAGTATACAGAGGACTTTAGCTCTACTCCATCTTCCTCCTTCCTCCTTTTAAACCACTTATGATCAAGCCCACTTATGTTGATTACGCCTCCAGATACAATATCGACTGGATTGCATTTTGACAGTACTTATCGTCAGTCGATAAATTATCTAGCTTGTTTAACTGTTTTGGAGTGCTGCAGACCTTAGAGACCGATAATAGCTCACTAGTCGTGTCGGAGTCATTCAGATACTTCTGCAATAGGAATGAATAAAGCACTTATGCTCACTACCCTATCACTCTCACCCAGACAGATAGAACGCTTTATGGATACTGTTAAACAAGCATTAGTGAAAAGGACAGGAGAGAGGACACCCAGCCAGATTATCACAGAGTTCTTAACTACTTATCGAACCACTAACAACTTCAATGTACTAGATGTAAAACCCTCTGATGTAATCATGTTTGGAAGAAGCATTCGGACCGTTTTAAACGCAACGTTACCACCTGAAACAGAGGATCACCACAGACGAAACCAGTATATCCGAAAATTTAACGAGGGTAACGAAATGGTCTTCAAATCACATTGTGGGAAAAAATGGCGGAAACCCAGGATTATTGAGAAGAAACTAGCAAAGGTTTTGAAGTGAGTGCATGAAGCGTTTGTAATGTGGATCAGATATGTAAACCAAATCCATAAAGAGAAAAGGAGAAATGAACACGGGAGGGGTAAGTAAAGAAAACTACCACTTGGGAAAATCGCTGATGCGCAAATGACGGGAAATTCTAAGAACACTACGAACAACAAAGGAAGGAAGGTTTGAATAGGGAAAGCAACAAAAAAAGTTGGAACGCCTCCGCAAACCCGTAATCAAGCTACAAGTATATCCAAATAAGAGACCTATTCTTTAAAAGAGGAAAGGTGTTGGGGACCCCAAAGTATCCCTTGAAAAAGTCAACATAGGTTAAGAAACCCCAATAAACATTTCGCCTAATCAGCATTAAATAGAACCCTAACAGAAACATCTGGAAAATGCCGACTCAAGTACCATGATTCTTATGGGATATTTTGCCATACTGCTGCTACTTTCAAAAGCCCAAGGGCATGAATAACCCTACAAATATCCTGATTTTCTTGAAATAAAGTGTCTTTGTACTTCACGCCTTTTATCTTGTGTTAAAGTCACAGTGTAGATTTAGTCTGGCATAACTAGGAACGGATAGGGAATCAGATCTTACGTTCATTTAACAGACTTATCAAGGTAACCAACTAATTGAAAATTTCATACTAACACTATTACTATATATGAATAATATATCTACTTTTTTTGATAGCCTTTTCGTTGCTCCATTTTAATTAAATGTTTTTTTCTATTTTGACAAATCTTTTAAAAGATCCAGTGTTAGTGTTCAGTGTCTACCCAGAAGCACTATCAACTTTACCTGGTTCAACGTTTCTATCAGTTTGTTTCTTTCTTATGTTGCTCACTTTGGGTTTGGACAGCTCAGTGAGTAATTTTATTTGTTTTTTTTTAAATGTAATTCGTATAATTAAATTGTATTGATTAGATGAACTTATTCGATTTTCCACAGTAAAGCTGTTTAGAAACTTATAACTTGAATCAATAACGTGATGACTGATATTTATGTCCATACATATAGCTGTTGGGGAGGTTAGATCCCTAGAACTCGCTTAATAAATATCTTTATTTTGGATTTATTTCATGGGCCCATCAGTTGACCTTGAGATCACATTTCCCACCAGGAAAATCCTTGGATGTGATTGGTTACATCTCGCAGATACAATTTGGACAAGGGATCACAGTAGCCTACCTGGACGCTGGTTCATTGTTTTGTACTCGTTATTTGACTAAGATGAACCCGTAACAGTTTAAGCATACTTCGAAACGAGTATAACAATAGTATATCCTAACAATACTTAGTAGACTCTTCAACATACCCACTTGATTGTCGATGTAAACAAATCAGCACTCCGAATATTTTTTTCCAACAAATGATAAACTAGCTCAGCAGTTATAATCAATGATTCGATAAATAAAACTTTTAAAATCAATCTCATTCAAGCCATTGAAATGAATAGGTATTCTGTCCGAATTGTCAGACAGAAAATAGTGTTTACTTCATGTAGGGAACCTTTTTTTCAAACTCATTTGAAGTGATGCATAAACTAAAACTGTAAATTGAAGCCGTTAGAAGTTTGATGCTAGAAAATCATCCATTCTATAACATTTTTATTCAAGTTTACTTGAAAAGTGTAGAACAAATAACAATTATCCAGAAGGTTCAGACGAGTGAATGTTAAATATTCTGTCCAATATCTATCAAAAACAGTCAAATTTCAATGACATTACATGAAAATAGTGGTAAGAATGTATCAACTATATTTTTTTGAAGATTAACTAAAGCTTATAAAATCGCATCAGTGATCTTTGAGCGAAATGAAAATTTGAATTCCGTATGGTGACATACCAAAACTTATTTTTCACAAATACTTTGACTACATTTTTAAAATCAATGAGTTAGTATCTGTTTACGGTGAATCACTCACACACAGATTAATGATCTTTCCTGTCAAACGGTGAGGTTCAGTGATCAATAAAGTTTGCTTTTACTTGTGACCTTTTTTTATTAAACAATTAGTGAAAACATAATGACTGAAATATTTCAGTTAAAATAACTTTTGTCATCACAAAAAATTAAAAGACTGAAGAACAGATTTTAACCGATCATCTGTTGACTATTAAAGATTCACATTATGAAAATTAGAACAACAAATATAGACGAACAATATTGTTTTCGACTAGATCGTCATCAGGTTTTACTCTTAATATACATGAATATTTGTATGGAAATGTTAGTCAGTCATTGTTAGACCACCATTAGAAACCTTGAAGCTCTGAAAGACGGCCGTTTCGTCCTCGTATGAGACTCATCAGCAATGGGCATCCACGACTCCTGCACCTCGCAGGACTCGAACCCGAGGTCTTCAGTAATGTGCGCAAACGCCTAACTTCTGGACCGCTGGGCCGGTATCCAACGGCGTTAATATCTAACGTCACTACACATAATAGGCAAAAGTCCAAGTTGATAGTAGAAGAAGACAGGTCTACTGATAGTAGTAAGGATAATACGATAAAATATGATAATAAAAGTTTTTGTCAATAGTTAAACATTGGAGATAGTAGATCGAACGTGGATAAATAGACTTAAAATAAGCATTACAAAACATCCAGACCATTACGTAATGAGAAGCGTGTACATAATTAGATAGTGAAGAATATAAACGGGAAGAGGCAGGAAATCACAAACAAATGCAGGATGTGAAAATAACGCTTACAATAACTAAAAGTTCAATTTTAAGACGAACATAGAACATCTCTGTAGCTGTCACGCCTGTCTCTGACATTCAGGGAAGTAACATTGATTACTTTAAAACGACAAGAACTTGCAAGTATCATCTTGGCTTTATAGACAACTACATCCAATAAATTTTACACTTCACTTTCCCTACCAATGTACCCACTATATTCAGATAATCCTGACAAATATTTTTTTCTCTGATCAACTGAATTCTAGTTTGGAGGTTCGGAAGCTGTTATCACAGCATTAAGTGATGAATATCCGATAATTGCAAATCATCGAGAATTATTTGTGCTTGGTTTATTCACATTCTACATTGGAATTGGTGCTTTAGAATCAACTCAAGTACGTAGTGTTTTTTAGTATATTGATGGGATGTAAATTTAAACAAATCCTGAGTTACTATACACTTAAAACTAAGGAAAAGATCTATGAAAAGCTCTTAGGTCTCTTTGTGAACACTACATTAAAAACAGGAATTTACTATAGTAAGTTTTTGACTTCATACAGGGTGCGATTTAATGTCATAATATTTCAAATTCATATGTGATATCTGTGTCGTACGTAAAACAGTTAAACTTCATCAATAGTGGCTTCTCATTACAAAATTAAAAACAGATTTGAAAAGTTATAAATACTGACATTACGACTAGAGTTGAGTTAGGCAGTTTATAGAGATTGTTCACTTGTTGTATGTTAGCTGATGTAACACGCAAAAGAATAGGTTTGATCTACATTAACTGATCACTGTGTGGTGATCGATGTCTGGTTTTTCCAGCACCATTGATACTAACCAAAATCTGTTGAAGAATTTTCAATGTAAATACTCAATTTCGTTGTGTGAGATCTCATTATTGAATTAGTTAAGTCTAGAACGACCTCCTGTAGGGTCCTGTAAGGTAGTGGCCAATTTCTTACCTTTTTAGACTTTGTAACTTGGTCGATTATATTCGGTCTTTACTAAGAATTGAAAGGTTTAACTTAGTATACGGTTTGTTTTCCCAACTGAAAATATTACATGAAAAGAAACAAGTAAGGAATTATCATAAAAATAATTTAATTAATATACAGAAAGATTTACAAAATAACTATTGAAGTATATTTCTGGACGACTCTCCCGGTCTCTCACAATATTCAAACAATCCATGTACCGATATTAATGGTCGCCCTGCTTGTTAGAAGAAACATCAGCCTTGTGACTTCCGAAGAAACTCGGCTTTCATTATGAGACGTCTTAACTTTTCTAAATGAAAACCTTCCAACTGTCAGAGCAGTGTTTAACCTGGTTTGAATTATTTTTTTCTTGTTAGGGTTTTTATAGCGAAATCATTTTTCGACGGGATGGAGTCGCTTACCCTATGCCCAACTTTGCTCCTTTTTACGTGCCTGGAACAAGCAGTAACCCTAAAGAGCCTCCACGCGTAGTTTAAAATCTAAAAAGATATATATTAATTCTTCAAATAAGTTAGATAACCCAATAACCAAACAATTCTAGATTTCGTTTAATCTCACTGAGCATATCGATTTTATATTCTTTCTTCCAACAAAGAAATGTTATATACTGTATGGAGTTATTTTTAATTTTCTGTTTTAGGGTGGTATCTATTGGTTTCATTTATTCGAAAGAACTTGTGTGGAATATCCAATTTTACTGGCTGTATTATGTGAAACAGTTTGTATTGCTTGGATATATGGTAAGATAAAATAGAAATTATTATTGTTATATAATAATAATAACAATAATAATGATAATAACATTTTCTCCTATTCACATTATAGGAGTTGATCGTTTTCGACAAAATATTAAACAAATGTTAGGCTTTCAACCAGGAATATTTTGGAAGATTTGTTGGAAATTTATTGCCCCCATTTTCATATTGGTCTGTTTCAAGTTTTATTGTTTTAGCCTTATTATTATTATTATTATTATTATTTGATAGTACGTTAAGCTGAAAAAACCGTGTTAAACATTTTTCCCAAATTTAGGATTACTTTCAGTTTAGTAAGAATTGCTTGATTATGTAATCAGTGTAAATTCTTGTAAGATGAGCATAAAATCCCCTAAAACAACATAGTTTATAAATGAGTACATTTAAAACTTATTCGTAGTTAAATCCCCCAAATATTTCTCAAGGATTTCCGAAACACCCCTCTATAGATAGACTTGTAGTGACCTCACATATATTTGAATTCGCTTACATTTTATTAGGTCAAACCTTTCGGTTAATTAATTTGACCAGGTCAGTTGTATAACAATAACTCATATGTACCATTGGCTTTTATTATTGTGTGGTTTATATGAATTGGTGTATGACAGAACATTGTTTACACCTACGTACATATTCATCCTATTCGCTTTAATATTAATCTCTTAAATATCACGATGACACAGATATCTTCCGCTGAATATATACGAACATTTTAATCATATTAATTCATTCGCCCATTGGCACATTCACTCGCTAGTGTGTCTGTCCGGTCTACTTGTGGTCTGTCATCCCTATTTGTGGTGTGCCAAAATAAACGTATTCAACACTTCGAGTTTACCTTCTGATTTATTAAGCGTCAGACATCATTTAGTAACGATTGTCTGAACGAGCTAATTACGGAGCTTTAGAACACGCAGATATAATTGGTCACCACAGACTATTGCTTAGCTGTGTCAAAACAAAACACACGAGATAACATTACTAGGGTAATGACAGTATTTGTTGGAAGTAAACTGTCTATCTTATACGTATAGAAAAGTACGTTTTTGATTGGTTATGTAAGGCAAGGGGATAGAGGATAAATCGAACGTATTTCATACCACCTAAGCTATTATACTGTGGTGCGAGCTACTTATAAGTAGTATATGACGTGAGTGTCAACGTAATGTCTGGCAGCAGCAGCAGATGGGGGAAGATCATGAAAGGAAGAGTTAGAACACAATGGAATTTGTATGAAACGCATGAATAGTGACAATGGATTGATGTTTTGCAACAGGAACAGTCCAGTTCGATATGATGGACTGATATTTTGCAAATTAACGATTTACGATATGGTTTTCCTATTTTACTGAGTAACTCAGTAATTTTCGTTAAATACAATTCGGTTGCCCCACTTGTGTTCTCGTTCACTACAATACCCCTTCTCAATGATCACCTTTAGTAATTTGCATCCTTATGGTAGTCGCTCTTGTTAGTGTGAATAACCGAATAACCAACTGAGTGGACAGAAGATTCTTTGTACCATTTCGGAATTTGTGGTTAGCAATTGAAACATTGTATCGTGTCTTAATTTGGGCTGAAAATGTTTAATGTTACAGGATGTTATTCTTCCTAAACTAAAGCCATACACCTTAGTAAACAATTCATACACCTTTTAGGACTAAACTAACTATCTCCGTGAAAAATTCTTTGTCAATAATGAAATTGGTTTTAAAACAGATTGAAGAGCAGACTTAAAACGTCTTTTTTTTTATCATTATGTTGAAACGCATCTTTATTATGTATTTCAGATTTTAATCAGAATTAATTTTTACTTGACATAAAATCTTTTATCATTATTATTTCCTACTATTTTATCAGTTCAATATTACTTATGGATTGTCGAATTATCAACCACTACAATTAGGTGATTATACTTATCCATTATGGGCAAATATATTGGGTGGTATTTTTAGTGGTTCAGCTATTCTAGCGATACCAATTGTTGCTATTATTCAAATATTACATACTAAAGGAACATTGAAAGAAGTAAATTCATTGTCATTTTTTTAAATTAAACTAATGCATTTAATATTTACTTATTTGTTTTAAGTCTTATTGTTTTTTTTGACTTAATTTTAACTGTTAGACATGATAGTGAAAAACGTTATATACAAAGTTGGATAGCTAAAAATAGATGACATTAGACAGAAAAGGATATTTTCAATTAGAATCATGGAGATTAGTGTTTTTTTACACATTTTTGAAATCATTGTTAGACTACCATTAGAAACCTTGAAAGGAAGCACTGAAAGCCGGCCATTTCGTCCTGGTATGGAACTCATCAGCAGATATACTAAAGTGTTTTTTAGTAATAACTTATGAACATTTTCAACAATGAAATGATGAAACCTTACAAACAAACTGAAGGAAAGCTAACAAAACCGATAAATCTGAATTTATATATACATATTTCTTTATTTCGTTCAGTAGTATAAATATTTTGTAATTAAAATGTTAAGTAACTTGATTGTTCTAGCTGTTAATATATGAACAATGACGAAATTAAAACATCTGTAATCGCAAAAAATCATACTGAGGTATTACCAATAGTGAAGTAATAAAACGATAGTGTTTATTGTTTAAATTTATACATGAATTATACTTAATTAATACTTTTTGCATTGGTAATAAGCATTCAGTAGAGTATACACATTATCCTAAAATGAATGAATTAGTCAGTTCAATAACATATTACTAAATTGTTGTTAAAGATATCGAGTTATTAAATGGACACAAATTTGCTAAGAAATTGTGTAAGTTTTCCTTAAAAGATACATTTAAACAAATGGATGCTTTTGAAAGAAAATAAAATATGCATTCTTTTTATTTAACTGTTCTTTGTTTACGAATGTACATCCGATCATGATTGTTGATTTTCTGTGGAACTGAGTAATTTCTCTCTTTTTCTGCTGTTCACTCATCACTATTGGAAGAACTATGTTTATTGTGTACTGGAAAAGTTCAGTACACATTTTGAAAAAGAACACTTTCAATAAGTTGGTAGTGTTGCTATTGGTAACCCTTTGGAACCGCTTTCAGCGGATAAACATATACCATAAGTTGAAAATAGGATGAGTGAGCTTATCAATGACGTAACTCTGTACAGCAGATAAATGGATGATGTAGTAGTCATGGGCGAATTTGAAGTTTGTAGAAGCCTTCACTATTCGAAAAATTCAAACCCCACCTTACATGTACAGAAATAATTTGTCGTAACCGTGAATTTACCCTGGTAGTCTATAGGCCACTTTATGGCTAAGGGTAATGAGATAATTTTCTATTCTTTCTGTATTATGTTAATTTTCTGTCTCCCTTGTTTACGACAATCACTTAATGTTTATTTGAACTTTGTACAATTAACTTTCAAGAATTTTCGATTAAACTTCATTAAGAGATATATGTGTGATCAGGTTGTGCTGATATTAATCCGATTGAGGTTTCTTGGTATCCAAAGGATAAATATACAGAGCATGACAATAAATAATAGAAAAATAGGAATTTTTCAAAAGTTTTCTGCAAACTATTTCAGTGGTGTTAAATAATTTTCACTTTCGGGCTACTTCACGTTAGTAAATAATTACAGTGATTGTGTGATATCTCTATGGTAAACAAGTGTTTCAGTCTTACTTTACATATATATATATATATATATATTACGAGGTTGTGAAGATTGTTAAGTTACATATTTGAAATCATGAATCGATCAATGTTAGAGCACCATTAGAAACCTGGAAGCGCTGGATGACCTTTCGTCCTGGTATGGGAGTCATCAGCAGTGCTCATCCACGACTCCTACACCCCACAGGATTCGAACCCGGGATCGAAGATCCCGGGCGCGAACGCCTAACCTATGAATCACGTTATTGGGTAGGTGCGTAGGAATCATGAATTTTTTTTTAAAATTGTTTGAAATGTATTATACAAATACATCATATAGTTCAAATCAACCCTTTTTTGACATAGTTTTGTCAAAAGACCATAGAGCTAAAAAGCAAAATTACTTCAGTCAGTTACTGAATGAACTAACTGTAAACATCTGAGTAATTGTTATTATCATTATCATTATTATTATTGAATAAGTTTCATGTGCTGGTGTTAAAGTGCTTGCTTACAAATTCAATTCACAAACCTTAACCAATTCGAAAATAGTGATTATCAACTCATCCATGAAACGTATACATGTAAACGAATGATATCGAATTCAGTTTGTGAAGAAAAACTTTTAAAATTAACTTTGAAATCTTTCTCCATATTCAATATAGTTACTTCTTCTGTTTTACAGCGAATTCAAAAACTTATTAAACCTGCTGAATGTATGGAACTAAATGAATATTTCATTGAAGATCAACCTATCATAAATAAAAAGATACCTATTAGTTTGTCAGATACATTGAATTCAGTCAAATCATCATCTTCTTTAGTCAAAGTACAATCAACTCATTCCATTCCGAATTGTTATAAAGTCGGCATAGATCAATAATATTGAACAGTGAGATCAGTAAAACAAAAACAAACAAAACAAACTTATTTATTCAATTTGATAATTGATCCATAGTTATTTATATTTTCCTTCATCAATATCATTCATTTATCCACGCATATATATATATATATATATATATATATATATATATATTGTTTGAAAAAATTTGTACACATTTATTTGTAATTTATATTTATTAAATCAAAATTAGTTTTGACTAATGATTATGTTCTCATGTTGTATGATGGTATACAATCTATTCTAATTACAACAAAAATATCATGGATCTTAGATAAATATATATATATTTAATTATATAAACTGCTGATTAGAAAAAAAAAGTTATTTTTATGTTATTGTCGCTTTTTAACTGTTCACTAGATAAGTAAACAAACACACATTGAACCATTCACTATTGAAAAGTTTTTGAAAAGTTTCATTTTGTCTGTGAATTATATGATGGTGGGATTTATATGAATTACAGATATCTTAGATAATAAATGAAATGGTTTTTAGTCATTGTTTATAATAATAATAATAATAATAATCATTGTGGAGATGTACAGATTTATAGTAAAAAGTATTTTATATAAATCAACCAGTTTTCCTAATAAATTGTATTAGAAATCGGGTACAATATTGAGTCTGATAGTAAAAGGTTAGTATTTGTTATTACATAAAAACTATAATATAGGATGTTAGTGAGTTAGTTAAATTTGTACTTACTTACTTACTTACTTACGCCTGTTACCCCCAATGAAGCATAGGCCACCCACCAGTTTTCTCCAAACAACTCTGTCCTGGGCTTCCATTTCAAGTTCTGTCCAATTTTTGTTCATTCTTCTCATGTCTTTCTCTATTTCTCGGCGTAATGTGTTTCTTGGCCTTCCTCTTTTCCTCTGACCCTGAGGGTCTCAAGTGAGGGCTTGTCTTGTGACTCAGTTAGGTGCTTTTCTCAGTGTATATCCTATCCTATCCTCTATCACAGTACGTTGTTGCTGATAGTATCTGGCCAACGAATCCGAAGTATTTTGCGTAGATAATTGTTCATAAATACTTGTATCTTCTAGATGATGGCTTTCGTAGTTCTCCAAGTTTCCGCTCCATATAATAGAACTGTCTTGACATTTGTATTGAAAATCCTGACTTTGATGTTGATTGATGGTTGTTTTGAGTTCCAGATATTTCTCAATTGTAGAAATGCAGCCCTTGCTCTGCCGATCCGCGCCCTCACATCTACATCGGATCCACCCTGATTTTCGATGATGCTGCTCAGATATGTAAAGGTCTTAACGTCCTTTAAGACATCTCCATCAAGAGTGATTTGATTGGCGCATGTAATGTTGTAGCGTAGAATCTTGCTTTTTCCTTTATGTATGTTGAGACTTACTGCTGCAGAGGCTGCTGCTACACTGGTCGTCTTCTCTCGAATTTGTTGTTGCGTATACGATAGAAGAGCCAAGTCATCTGCGAAGTTTAGTTAAATTTGTAGTAGCCAGATATTTCCATCTTCATTCAATTAAGATAAATTTTGATTTGATGAACCAAACTAAGAATCAAATTACAAGAATGTATAGTCGATTACTTAGAGATGATTGTTGGTAAAAAGCTTCTGGATTAATTTATTTAATGAATTAAAAATGACCAGTAAATGATATTCTTAAATTTTTGAAAAACAACACTCCAGATTCAACATTTTCAACTAGTTAACTGAAATTACATAGTTTAGACTGTTTTGAATGTCTTATTCATAGTAAGTGAACAGATTGTAGGTTTGAATGTATTTAATTGATAAATCTAATTGGTATTCAGATTCTGCATGTACTGTTTTGAATTACATTAAATCGTCATCGATCAATTATTTAAAATCAGTTATTCTATTTACAGTCGACTTTATGATTAGATAAACACTATGAATTCTATTTATTGATCAAGAAATGTGAAAATTTTACTTCTACTAAAGATCAGTCACTACCGAAATAACTTAGATTTAATGACTCGAACAATAGTGTTGGGTCAGCCAGTCAGTCATTTATAACGTAGAACTTCGTAAATACGAAGATAAGTTCAGGTTGCCATACCACATTAGCACAGAGACGCAACTGTCAGTTCAAATCCCATAGTCGTAGAGATAGCAGAAGTATTAGCAGAAATGATGAAGATTAGGTTTCCAAGATATGATTTGAGAAGTATAATTCAGTCAGATAAATTTAGAAAGAGAAAGATAGAAGTGATGAGGAATTCAAAAGATTAGAATTTCAAAGGACACAAAGAGTGTATGCACCTGCGCCATTGCAAACGATTGCGAGCCATGTCATTCAAGGTCTCTAACCATCGGTTACTATCATCTCGCTGACCCAAACCAGGTAGTCGACACCTACCAACATGACTCATTCCACTTGTCAGTGACTTCATAGATTTGTGCCATGTTTTGGTTTGGCCACCCCTAGCTTCCTTCCAACCTACTCCCATACCACAAAACAGCGCTTGTTAATAACGTTGGGTAAAGTTAGTGTTTATTGGCATGTGTTGAATAAATCTTGTTGATGAATGCAACTTCATACAAAACTACCTGTTGAAGCATCCTGAAACTTGCTTCTAACTATAAAAGTATCTATGTAGCAGATTTATGAAATCGTCTGTCGCTGTCTACATCATCAAAATATCAGAGAGATTTGAAACAATTTAATAATTTCGAAATAACTAGTATCAGTTAAAACTATGCTGATATTATTTTTCATTACTGTATAAAAGCTACTGTTATATGAGTAAAGAAACTATTGTAGATAGTATAGTGTATAAGTATAGGAATAATTGCCCACCTTCCTAGAAAAAATGCATTCAATGTCAAATGATAGTAGTTTATATAAGTGGTCACATGACTAATCTAGGCTACAATGTTGAAACATAGCGGCTTAGCTTGACAGTATACGTATCCATTTCATTATTGATAAGCTCTATTTATTGAATCTAAAGTTTAAAAAAATTAATGACACTGAGAAAATAGGAATTTTGTACCGATTCTATCAATAACAATGTTTTCAATGAGCTTAATATCGATAAAAACATGTAGTTTTTTCTTCTTCAAAGAGACATTGTGTCCAAATCGTTCGACATATTCTTAATATTAAAAAAAAAATTATTTTGCATTATAAGTAAGGTGTTTGTGGTGAATTACAAAAGTCGTCATATTCCATGCATAACTCATTAGGATTATCAATAGTAGTATGATTATGTCGTGAATGTGAAGCAATATAGGCTGATTGACTGTTAATAGGAGTATCAACTAGAGTAGATTGTTTTCTATTGTGTAATGGTTGTAACATAGTTTCCGATTGATGATTATCACCAATGACTGATTTGGTTGTAGCTGCTTTTGTTATGGTGAACTTTGTTGTTGTAACAGATGAACAAACTGACAAATCAGTAGATTCACAATCATGATTTAAAGATGAATTTGTAGTGGTTTTTTTCATGACAGAGTGATGATGTCTGTCACATTGTCTTGTTAGATAATAATTATCTATTTGACCGGATTGTAATAATTGTTTAAATATAGAGACATTTTTTCTGTGAGTTTGAGGTATATAAAAATGATTTGTGCATAGTTTGTTATTATTAACATGATGTGGTTGTGTATTTGAACAAGATGCTGTAGCAGATGTTGATAAAGTTCGAGTATATTCAGTGTTCTGTCCCAATCTACCATAGGACTTTTGATATCTTGAACTTGTTGGTAATACAGGTAAATTATTTTCTGAATTTGATGAGAAGTTAGTTTCACTGTCATCTCTCACATCGTCATCATCATCATCGTTGTTGTCAGTGTCATTGTCATAACCTCCACAATGATTCTCATGAACTCTTGCTTTTGGTTTAAATGAAAAGGCTTTCATTGAAGCCTTTGTTTCGTTGGATGAATAAGAAGTATCATTTAAATAGGGGTTATTATTTTCAGGTATTTTATGCAATTCATTTGAATAATTCGATTTTTTAATGAATAAAGTTGGAATTGGCTCAGGATGTAAGCTAAAGCTAATAATAATAATAATAATAGTAACAATAAAAATGTTAATATTACTATGCTGACTTAATGGTAAATATCAGTAAGATTATGCAAACTATTTATTGACTTTCTATTTGAGAACCACTTAAACTTAGGAATAAAACAAATGATCGATCTTTTTTTCTAATTTAATTGGGAAGTTTTCTGGAGGCTAGTTGAATTAAGCAACTATTTTCCCACTGGCTGATATCAGCAAACGAATCGTTGGGAATCGGAGAGTACTTGAAAATTGTTTTTTACAAGTTCATAAAGCCATTATATAGGTAAATTAAGACACAGTGATAAAGTATAACTGTTGATCGATCGCAACAGTAGGTAAATTCATCACTGCTGAAATAACGGAAATTTATCAGACACGATTGTTCACTTCATCTCCAGGAGTTTGTTTATTTAATCACATACATAAGGTTACAATTCAAATTAGAACTGGAAACTAGATTATTAGCTTTGTGATTAACTGTTAGTGACTGTAAATATGATTGGCCACTGAATGTAGTCTTACAAACATATATTACTGACTGTCAAGTTGTGATTATTTTCGAGTATTGACCTCTGTTGTGGACTTAATAAGTGTGAACTTCTTGTAATTGGGCTAAATAAGGTAGATTTATTTGTACACTGGTTCTCTATTTTGATCTTGAGTTGTGTACATAGCTTAATGTATAGCTTTTCAACCGGGTGTCTAATTCAAGATACAAACAAAGCTCGACGAACCACCGACTGCCTCGTCGAGTTTTGTTTTGTAGTGTAGGAATAGGTTGGAAGAAAGTTAGGGGAGGCCAGACCAAAACATAGAACAAATCCATGAAATCGTTGACTAGTGGACTGAGTCATGTCGGTAATTGTCGACTACCTGGTTGGAGTCCGCGAGATGATAATAATCGATGGTTAGAGACCTTGAATGAAATGGCTCAAAATCGCTCGCAATGGCGCCGGTGCATTTATTCTTTGTGTTCTCTCAAATCCTAATCTTCTGGATTCTTCAACCCCTCTAGTTTTGACTTTCTAAACTTTTCTCATTGAATCATACTTCTTGAATAATATCTTCTCATCCTAACCTCTCCGATTACTTCTACTACCCGTACTAACTCTTCTACAATTGGATTTGAATCGACAATTACATCTCTGTGCTAATGTGGTATGGCAACATGAACTGATGTACTTACGTACGAAGTTCTACGTTGCGACTGACTGACTGACTGACTGGGCATCTAATTCGGATCCAGTCACGTTATCATATAATGGTAGCATATCGCGGAAACTAAAGAATATTTTTATCCTCTCGTTTTTATTACATAATGATCTTCCTATTGAACTTTAAACTGATCAAAAGGCATAAAAGCGAAAAGGGATAAATTCATTGTCATTTGCAAAATATAGTGTACTAAGTGCTAAAAAATAACATACAACAAAGTAAAAAAGGCATCCTTTATTTATCTATACATAAAGAGTATTTAAATGACGTAAAATTTCATCAGTCATTTCATTGCATGCGAGAAACCGTAAACACCGATTCGAATGGAGAGAATCTAGAGTATGTCAAAGAAACTATGACATTCCCGTCAGTCTGCAATCAATAGGCGGACACAGTTTACCAACCTAACCTTACCAGAGATCAACTAAGCAAGAGAGTCAACGAAAATATAAAGACGAACGTAGTTAATGAAACTTTTAAACAGAATCATCCATTGATTTGGTTATCGAAACAAACTGATTTAGCGCCTGCTAAACAACTGAACAGTTCACTTCTGATTAAAGAAAGTGCTGATGATATTGTTACAATCGATAATGAAATCTCCCTTGTTAGAACGCATTATACGACTAAAAGTATTTACCTGAGCTACAAAACTATTTCATCATGAGACTTCATAACTCTTCTGAAAGAAGACCTTCTAACTCCCAGGGCAGAGTGAAAATGGTTTGAATTGATTTTCCTGGTTAGCGATTTATTAGAGAGTTAGTTTGTTCATGGAATGGAGCCGCCGACCCAATGCCCAACCTCCTCCTTTATCCGGGCTTGGGACCGACAGTAGCCCTAGAGGGGCTATAGGCGGAATTATTTCATCATTTCATAAGTAACCGTAAACATTTACGCACTGTAGACAACCGAAATAATAATAATAATACACGTCCAAACTGTTAAACAGTTGAATGTCACCACTACTGGCTAAGTTGCTATATATTTAGTCACCTAACAGTCAAATTCATTGGATACTTACCGATTGGCTATTACTCTAAAAAACTTTATCAGGAATAACAGTAGAGAATAAAGTTCACAGAATTCTAAACCTTTTAACCTTATTACAAACGGAACAAATAAAATCTACAAAATATGACTGTTTTCACATTCACATTAATAACTATCAGCATAATTAAATTTTCCTGAATTTTTGGTTGAGTATTATAGCTGAGACTAATGAATCCTGACATTATTAATTCATTTTTACTGTCATACACCGTTGGATGCCGGCCCAGTGGTCCGATGGTTAGGCGTTCGCGCGCAAGGCCGAAGGTCCCAAGTCCGAATCGTGCCAGGTGCAGGAGTCGTGGGTGCGCACTGCCACTGATGAGTTCCTTACCAGGACGAAACGGCCGTCTTTCAGTGCTTCCAGGTTTCTAATGGTGGTCTAACAATGATTGATTGATGATTTCGAATGTGTACATATACTTTAAATTAAATGCGATTAAAATGCTTAAATAATACACAATAATGACAATTAATAATATTCAGTAAAACAATTATTGAATTCAGCAGACATTAATCATGAAATTTACGATTAGCTTCACATACTACTAGTATGTTTCTAAATATATATTAGTAACTTTTAATATAAACAGAATGGTTTCAATATGGGATGACTTGTTACACACAACTTAAACAAAGCCATTAAGACAATTTTCAAACTTGAACAATTTAAAAAGAAAACAAACCGATTGTGCTTTTTGCATGTTGTAAAGAAAAAACCTTTAGTTGTCCCGATAGAGGTTTTAGATAAATTAAAATTCATATCCATTTATAGTGTAAATCCTATTGTCTAATATGCACTAAAGGACCATTGTGTTTTGTTTCATTGATATATTTGATTCCAATGTGATAATGATTTAAATTTTCTGCATGATTACGGTTTAAGCAAAATGTTATTTTTTCCAGTTTGAATAATAACAATAATAACATTATTCACTTATAACTTACTGATTCTGAGATTTAACTTCATTGTGCTTCAATAAATATTGACTCTTGTTTGGTCGAGTCAAATCAACAATCTCTTGATGATTTCGGCTAGTTTCATTCAACGGTATACTGACATGATCACATATGAAACAGTTACATTTTGATTTAATTCGATTAAAATGAATACGATTTCTTATATTTGAGAAATTTACATGTTGTTTTGGTTTTAAAACAAATGGATTGTGATCGATCATTCGATTTAATGTGCAAGTAAACCTTTGATTTCTGGATTCATTATTAAAATCGTTATTATTATTATTATGATGTACACTTCCAAGTGTTCTCGTTTGTGTAATTTTACATTTCAATAATTTATCAAGTAACAGACAACATCCATGTCCAACAATGACAAGGATACATAGAAAAATAATAATACTAAATCCAAATAGATATGGCTATGGTTGAATGATGAATTTGTGTGAAATAGAAATAAAATAAAATAAAATAATAACAGCAATTAATGAATGAATGAGAATCATTTATTGATTTCAAGGTGATTATTTTTTAATTAGAAATGTCTATTTATTCATATTTGTCCTTTGTTTTGCACAAAGAACTTGTTGACAGCCATAAACTATGCCTTCACATCACACTGACTGATCACGTGATGATGAACAATTATGGTGTTAACAGAATTCCTCGAACCACTGTGCAACTTGGACACTAGCCTAAAATGACTTGATATCATAGTGGACTTTGTTTTGATGTCAAGTAGTCAATGGGTTGAATGCTTGTTTTAACTGTTTCTATCTTTCCAACTGAAGTTGAAATGGTAAAAGTCTTGAAGATTGATAAAATATGTTGGATCGGAAATTTTTAGGACGTTCATTTAAAAAATAATTGAGTTTAATGATAGAACAACATGGTATATTTATATCCATATGTAATGATTGACTGACTTTCTAATCCGAGTAGCTCAGTGAATAACTCATTGTGTGTTTGAAGTGAAAAATACTCGGTCCTAGTCGGAATGTTAACAACAAAATTGTAATGCAGCTAAATTCAGCTAATGAGCCTCAAGTATAACAAAAAGAACATTTTGGATTTCGCTGTCAGTTACAGTCCACCTATCGTTAATACAAAACGTATTCAACAAGGGTTCACTTAAGGTTTGGTGTTGGAAGTTCATGACCACTTTGGTATGACTAGATGATGTACAATTAAATAAAGATAATTGTTAGGTTCGTCACTGGGTACTCTTGAAGCTATTAGAGGTTCACCTAAGTCGATAAACGCGAATGAGACAATGAACCAGCGTCCAGGTAAGCTACCTTGATCCGAAAACGGCAAAATAGAAGTCTTGATAAGCGTGGAAAGTATATTCTACAAACACCCTTCAAGCGCAATACAATCAAGCACACAACTCTCGTTTATTTATACGTCATAGAAACGTCCTTGAGACAGTCACAAAAATAGCACACTAAAATACACAGCAGCCAATCAGAGCCATGGATTTTCCTGGTGGGAAATGGAATCTCAAGATCAACTGATCAGCCCATGCTCGCAAACGTTCGTATATTTCGATCCTTGTGAGCCATCTGTCACAAAACGACCCTACTGGATAGTTGTTTTGTTCTAGTATGAATCTCCTCAGCTGGGAGCTACTCCTTTTTTTTCAGTGAGACCCAAAATAAGGTTGATCTGCAAAGAATGTCACCTATGCAATGAAAAGGTATTTCATACAGCAGAAGTATGAAAGACGATTCTCCACTTGACGTATACACGTAAATAGAAGAAATAGAGAATTTGCAAAGATTAGGGATGAAGATTTTGAACAATGTGACATTAACCACTAGACATATTGCTAGTGTTTGTTGTATACTCATTAAAAAAATACTTTTTAGTTAGTTCATTTGGACAACATAGATTATTTTGAATGATGACTCTCGTGGTGGTGCACGACCTGGAGTAGGAAAGAACAAGATTTGTAAGGTCAATACCAACTTTTCCATTAGAGCAAGTAAACTGATAATATCACGAATAAGTAACATTTCACAGCCAATATTCGTTCATCTAATGTCATTCAACCTATCAGGTTATATGAAATCACAGTATTATGATCTGAAATTTGTTGCTCATAAAATTAAGACTATTTTTCTCTAACTTCAAATTCTTGTTAACAAATCTTGAGTGATAGATAAAGTCATAGCATTGAATGTCTAGTGAATTAGTTGTAATTTCTAAACTACTTGTAAGTAGTAGCTATTAATAGTTTGAATAAATATCCTCTCAATGCTTATTCTTCTTGGTATGTTACTTTATGAACAATTAGTCAATTTCTTATAAGAGTAAATATTCCTGCCATAAACTTACTGATTTGAACTAACTGCAAGCGTATAAATTATGTTACATATTGTTTAACAAAGGTTATATTACAGGATGAATTACTTACACCAAGTGGTCTACATAAACCAAGTTTTGAACAAATGAAAATGCTGGTATTAAACTTTTCGCATCGACTCCCAGAATAATATGCTCCACATAAACATCTGAATGTATTGAAAAATGGATCCATTAAACATATTCCTTGATTCAAGCATATATTTATGGGGCATGGTAACAATTCTGCAACACTTCGTTTGGTTACATTAATTTTATCTGTAGAAATTGAATAAAATAGGCATATGATCGTTAGTGAGTCAATTTTCAATGGAAATTTTCAAATCGATGAAATAGTTTTACAAAAACAAATTAATCAATCACTACATCTATTCCGCTTTGTAATCTTCTATGTTTGCATGTGTTTGTCTTTCCGTGTAATTGAACTGACGGATAAAATAGACAACAAGTTCAAAGGTCAACTTATTTGCATGTAATTCAAAGGGAAACAAATTATGTAATCAGTCAACAAATCAGATACATACTACATTGACTGAATGTCAATCAATGTCACTCCATTAAAATAATATTGAATGGATTTCGTTTCCAATTAATAACTCCTAGAATGACTGCCGAAAGATTGAATAACGTTCTTCTGGGGTTTATATATTCAGTACCAACTTATCTAGAATTATACATTACATAAACTAAGATTAAACATATACAACATTAACATAGCAGTCTTAATAAATGCCATTTCGTGTCCTCCTTTGTTCACTTACACTGATAAAAATAGTACTTTTAACTTCGAAACGCTTGATACTATCATGAACTATGAGGGATTAAATAAGCTTGTTACGCTTACTCAATCACTGCTCACCGCAAAATTCAATGCTTATCAGTATAAGAATAGTTACGGACACGTACATCAAGAAATTACATGAATCCATAAGGTCATTAATAGTCCAAGTGATTTATGTTGATTGGTATAGAGAGTCCTAGTTAGAGCTAGTACAATCAGTGACTGAAGGGGCTGGTTATGATTACGTTGAACATATTTCTGTGTCTCCCTTATATTCACTGACTAGTTTTCAATGTATTTCAAGGTTATTATCGAGTTGATCGATTCATTCTTGTATTTCATTCGTTCTTTATCATTCATAGTTAGCCTTTCATTACAGTGTGCATTGTTTGTTGGTAATCTTAACTTAATAATATTCCTTTTCTTATACTATGAGATATGGCAACTTAAACTGATATACATATATCAGTGCTTTGTTTACAATGACTGACTGACTATTAATTCTTTTATTGCGCTTCATACAAAATGCTTTTTCTTGACACCTAAATGTTTTAAGTTTTTTTAGATTGCCAATGATTATATAGTAAAAGCGTGCAGTACAGTAAAGTTAGTCCATCCAGTAATTAAAATATTAAAATTAAATACTCACCTATTGATAGAATGTTTGTTTACAAAAATAGATGAACCGAGAATAAATAAATGAATAAGTATTCAATGTAGACAGGAGTTATTTCGACCTGATTTCCACATATATCTTCTTGTTTGGGAACGTTACACTAACTACTAATTTGAACATTATCACCACTAATCGCTGTTTCAGACAACCATTATTATGGATACAACGTACTTACAGGTAGATGACAAAACAGACTTCTTTATAAATGACATGATATTACATGTACTGCTATTTGGCGGAAGCGCTAACGAAAATGTAATTATACTCACTTGGTGAGCTATTGCAAGGAATTGACAAAGGTCTTGAAATCTGTTGCTGACTGCTTCCAGATATACTCGGAAATATTCATACTTCTCACGAAGGACATCAATATTTAAAAATATGCAACTTAAGCTACCCTCAGATTTTACTTCTCTGATTTTATTCATTTGGTCATCATCAAAATACTAGTTTGAGACTTGTTGTAGGTAAGTAACTGAAATGTAACATGAAATCTAGCACAGAATTATAAGTCTCCGAAACTAAAACAATTTATTAACCACACCATCAATTCAGAAAAATCTACCGATTATCAAAGTTTCTCACTTTTCAAATTGATTAAAAATAAGGTTGTAACCTCACGAGATTGTTTTACGTTATTTCAAATTACAGGAAAATTCACTTTTATTGTTTAAAATCATCTCAATACAATACGTTATTATAATTTGGTAGTTGGTTTAATTACAAACATACATCATCTATGGCATTATCTTCGAATTCTGCACAACCTTACAAAGCATAGAGATATATTATGATTTATAACTTAATGGTGACTAATATTAGGATAGTTTCGCTGCATTATAAATTGTCAAAACTTGCTGTGTTAACAGTATTTGAAGTGAAACAGTTTTCTAATGATACCATTGATTATTAGTGTTACTAATGTAGTGGAACGCTTCTACGAAGAAAATACGATTTGTGAAAAATAAACATTTATTATTGTACTCGTTTTGTTTAACTGAACCAAAAACACTTCTTGCGCGCAACGTTCTCTTCGCGTTGCTGCCATTCTTCTCTATTTTCTGTTCCCGATATAATGCCTACAGTCTCCTTCAATAAAACCTTGGATCATGGATTTGTTTTGATATCAATAACGGCGGGATATTATGGAACATTTAGTGGTAAGCATAGTCAATCTGGTATCTGACTCGCTCACTACACTATACTGGTTAATCTGTTTATGTATCCAATAGAAAACTTGAAGTTTCCTAATCATATACTTCCTAAGGCTGTTTCACTACAGTGATATCTCAAATAAGGACTAAAAAAGACCGTACGCCATAGTTTAGCAATTTTAAATGGACGAATGAAAACGACAAAATATAGTTGTACAAGTTACGAAAAAAATACAACGAAAAGGAAGTTTGGAGTTACGATATACTAATAACAATATATTAAGTAAATTATAGATCAATGTAATCTGAATATTATTGTGAAAAAATATGACAGCGAAAACAATGTGAATATTCTCTTTAGGTCAATAGGGGCATAAAGTTATTTTTCTGTTGGGAACGTTAGATCCTCAGAACTCACTTGATAAAGGTAATCATTTTGGATTTTATGCTTCCACGCATGGGCTGATCAGTTGACCTTGAGATTACACTTCCCACCAGGAAAATCCCAGACTGTTATTAGTTGCTGTATTATTTTAGTACGCTATTTTTGTGGCTCTCTCAAGGATGTTTCTGTCATGTATAAATAAACTCGATTTGTGTGTTTGTAAACCTCAAGTTTCTGGCTGCTTGTGGAATACACTTTCTACGTCTTGTCAAGACTTCTTCCTCTACTTAGTGTGGCCTTCGGACACTCGGATTAGAGTAGCCTATCGTGTCACTGGATCATCTGTCTTCGCTTCCATTTACTAAGTAAGGTGAACTCATAATAGTTTCAAGCATATCGATTGACGAGCATATCATTTTCAGTTCATGTGAATAATTATCAACTAAACTAACATACTAGTTCTCATTATCTAGCTCCTGATTTCTATCGATTTTTTGTGTATGAGTGATTGATTTAATGAATAAGTGATGAGTTGTCTAATTGTCTAACTGGTTCATTGGTTGAACGAATTAGTGAGTGAATCAGTGAGTGATCATCACACTAATGAAAAAATTGAGGATACATGATGAGATTATACGACAGAAAACAACAATACAGCATAGGATGTGAATACCAAAAAAATATTAATCTCTCAAAGAAATATATATTTTGTACAACCGCAAATTTCTAAGACGAACAAGCTAACTACAGCGTTTATTACTTTTCATTAAATTCTACATTAAATATCTATTTAAACATCCATCAGAAATTCAATGTATTATGGTGATTTGCAGTTCAGCTAACCCTATACATTGTATTCATCATTCAGTTAACTTTGATTTATATTGAAGACTAAAGTTTAATATTATTACACTGGCTAACAACATCATGCTCAGCATTTCTCTTGAATTTTCAAGTGTTAATATTACAAAAATAATAGGTTGTTATTTTAAAACAAGGAAGTCAATAGTAGCCCAAATTCTCTAATTAATCTACTTGAAAAGTTAACACTTATGTGTTTCTGATCATTTTATATCTTTATTGACTGTGACACTTATATGATATGTTTAGATGGTTGAAATGTAAGGCTGAATGTAAGGCTATGAACGTCTGTCTTTACATTTTGCCTTATAACGAATTGACACGCATTAGAAAATAATGATTGAATTTCAATTATTTTGAAGTAATAGATATGGTTGCAAAAAAGAATGCTGGAATAAAACCAAATCATCACTTACAATCAGTACCATCTTGTAGACTTATTGATCGAGTATACTTACGGTTTCATCACTGGATATTTTCCATTTGATGACAAGATTTAAACTCGATGATATTACACATTCTAGTTTCACATTATTTAAAAGGAATAATTTTTTTCCATTAGAGTTATAGAGATTAGTGTTTTGATACATTTGAAATCATCAATCAATCGGTCATTGTTAGACCACCACTAGAAACATGGAAGCACTGAAAGACGGCCGTTTCGTCCTGGTATGGAACTCATCAGCAGTGTGCACCCGCGACTCCTCCACCTCGCAGGATTCGAACCCAGGACCGTCGGTATTGTGCGTGAACACCTAACCTCTGGGCCATACTTTGGTCATATTCTGCTTATCTTATTACTACGTATAATATACTAAACATTAAACCGTAATTAACTATTTCAATAGTTTGTATAAAAAATCTTTATTATTAATACATTTGATTACTTCTGAGAAAGACATTTTACCAATAGTTAATCAAATGTAACACTGAAATGAACTTGATTTATGGTAACTTGTTCTACTAATTTGATCGGATTTATTCCCCTACATTAGATAGCTGTTTCATACTTTTGATGAGGATTTCACCAGTTTAGAAAGCACAAATTTTCAAACTTCGTGTTTAAGGATAATCACCTAAAGTTGCTTAGATGATAATATTAAACAGCTCTCAAAATAATTTATAAAATAAACAGTTCATGTGTGTTTAGTCGTTTATAAACTGATCATTGAATTGTTTCAGACATGATCCACATATACATGCAGCCCAATCGAAGAATTAAACATCATAAACTTCAACATATTTACTTCAGATTTGTACAGAAATTTATTGACTGTAAATTAGTACAGCACGATGGAAGTGACTAATTCCTTATTATTCACAGTAGTGTATGATTATTATTATATCAAGTGACCAACTTGCAGATGAATATCATATTCATCTATTGAAATTTTCATCACACTCACCATTTCTCTTAATATTTAAACACAAATACTGAAGAG